GACACCTGCAAATAGATAAAGGCAACGCGCAGAGGACAGCTGAGGAAGCGCAGCAGCTCGCAGCCGAAGCCTCTTCTCGCCTGCAAGAAGTACTCAAACCCTAAACCCTAAACCCTAAACCCTAAACCCTAAACCCTAAACTGTAGTAGTGCATAGGTCATCTAAGGCCGTAAACCCTAAACCCTTAAAGTATTGACTGCTTCTAAAGGGGCATAGCTAAACCCTAAACCCTAAACCCTAAACCCTAAACCCTAAAACCTGGCGTTTGCTCACTTATCATTGTGAATCAGGGTTTTAGGGTTTAGGGTTTAGGGTTTAGGGTTTAGGTTGAGTTTTTCTTCTTTAGTTAGTGTTTCGGCGTGAGTGTTGTCTTTTTTTTAAATTTTTTTTGTGGGTGTATTGTTCTCTCCAGCACTGAGGGTTTAGGGTTTAGGGTTTAGGGTTTAGGGTTTAGGGTTTGTGTGTTAGGTGGAGGGTTCTCGCGCTGCAGTGAATAGCGAGCTGTGCAGGCTAAGAGAGAATGAGGTTTTCTATGAGGCTCAGCTGCAGCAGCTGCAGCAGCAGCAGCAGCAGACAGAAGAGACATATGCTGCTGCAGAAGCAGAGAGAAAGAGACAGGCTCAGTATATATTAAAAACAGACGTAGAGACAGAGAAACTCAAGCAGCAGCTAGCTGCTACAGCTAGCCAGCTAGCCACCACGGAGATACAGCTAGCTACAGCAGTACGTAAAGAAAACGAAGCACAGAGAGAAGCTGCGAGAACAAGAGATGCTGCTGCTGCTGCTGCTGCAGCAGCAGAAGAGAGACATCAGCAGCTGCATGCTACGCTGCAGCAGAGGATAGATGCACTGCAGCAGGAAGCAGCAGCAGCAGCAGCAGCAACACTCAAAAAAGAACAAAGAATAGATAGCTTGCTGCTGCAGGTGAGCGGGCTTCAGGGGGAGCTGCAGCAGCAAACAGCACAGAGAGAGGCCCTAGAGGAGACGCTTGTACACGAGAAAGAGAGACAGCAGCAGCAGCAGCAGCAGCAGCAGCAGCTGAAGCGAAACGAGGAGACTCTGCGTGCTGCAAAGACAGCAGCAGAAGCACAGCTAGCAGCAGAAAGAGCAGCAAGAAAAAGAGACAAAGATATATATGAGGAGACAGTTGAGGAGAGGAGACGGGTGCAGCAGCAGCGGGATGTGCTGCAGCAGGAAGCAGCAGCAGCAAACGCACAGCTGCAGCAGCTGCAGCAGCAGGCACTGGTGCTGCAGCAAAGGATTACAGACGCAGAAGCAAGAGAGAAGCAGCTGAGAGAGGATGCTAGACAGCAGCAGCAGCAGCAGCTAGATAGAGAAACGGAGACAATAAAAAAACATTACGAGCAGCAAAATAAAATAGAGGAGACATTGAGGGAGACACAGGAGAGACTGAAGGATGCAGCACACAAGCTGCTGCAGCAGGAGCAGCAGCTGCAGC